GGGGGAGGGGGAGGCCCTGGACAGAAAGTAACTGCAGGAAGAGGAGAAACCCAACTGCTCTGGTAAAAGTCTTCCAAAAAAAAATAAAAAATAAAAAATATATATATTCACTACACCAGCACACGCTTCCCCCACCCATCCCAGGGAAAAAAAAACCCCAAAACAAAAGAATCAAACTGAAAGAAAATGCACAGCAAATAGACATAATCTTGAAGATTTTTAAAGAATAAATATTTTTTTGTAATTAAACATTATGCAAACACGTGCCACGCTTGCTCTTTGTCCATGCATATGCGCTATATACAACTTTGAAAAATACTGTGTTGTCCTCTTTTTGTTTTAAAAGTCATATACAAAGGTTGGTTGTTTTTTTTTTTTTTTCCTTGCTGTGTACACCCCCCCTCCTCCCCTCCCCAAAAATCCTCTTTACGATGAGAGCCACATTCATCCGTGTACTTGGGTGGCAGAGAGGAGAAGGAGGGGCTGGGTGAGCCACCCCCCCCATACCAAAGTACATCAAAATGGCTGGTTTGGACATGAAAAGCAGTGTCAAGAAACTGGTTTAAATTTCATCTGTACTACACACAGGAAAAGAAAGAGAGAAAAGAAAAAAAAAAGGAGTCGGCTTGGAGGATGAAGCTACGTTACAAGTTAAAGTTGGAGGGTTTTTTTTTTTAGTGCGTCTGTCACACTCTTGGCCGCCTAGAATACTGTTGTACAATGGTTTATCTACCTCTTCTTTTTATTACAATATAATTTACTTAATTGTTCTGTTAACAAAACAGAATCCCGGTACTACAGACCAGCGGTGTAAGAGGCGGAGCAGCGCCCTGGGTGGGTTTTATTGGAATTGCATGAGCACTCTAAGATGGGAAAGGGGTCAGAGTTCGTTTATGCAGGGCCAGGCTCAGTCCTCGATGTACTCCCACAGGTCCTTCTCGTAGCCTTCATGCACGTGCTGCAACAAAACCCTTCGCCGGCTCTCGCAGTATCTGCAGGGAAGAGGGACAGTGTGGAAAAGGCAGGTTAGGATCACAGAGCATCCCTGGCACCGAGTAATCCAAACCTACATCACACCTCACTTCCAAAGAGGAGTTCCCCCGACAAGGGACTTTGTATTTGCAGCCTGTTAACAGCACTAGTTAAGACTTCAGTTACTCCAGTCGCTCAGCTCCAGGTCCCTGGCTGGAAAAACAGCCTGCAAATTGGGAGTTTTTTCCAGGCAAAAGCATCCCCAGAGCCCCTGCAGCTGGGAAACATCCAGGAATAACTGGAAAAGGAAGCAGCAGCAGCAGCTGTGGTTTGCAAAAGCCTGAGCACAGGTTGGCAGTGACACCCAGAATGGGATGAGCTCTCTTCAAACACGGGCTGGTGCCTGCTCTGAGGCCCATCAGAACAATAAAATTCCAGGAGCTACCTGGGAAATACTAGCTGGAAGTGTTCAAGGACAGACTGGATTGGGCTTGGAACAACCCAGTCTAGTCTAGGAAGGTGTCCCTGCAGGAAATGGAATGAGAAGAGCTTTAAGCTCCCTTCCAACCTAATCCATTCCATGATGAAAACCTCAGGAGTACTGACACAGTTTTATTTCCCAGTGGAGATGGAAGCAGTCAAAAGAGTTACTGGTCTGATTGGAGAGCAGGTTTCACCTCACATCCCAACACTTGGCTCTCAGAGGGACACTACCACCCTGCAGGGTCTTCCACCTACACTCAGTGAAACAAAGCTGCACATAAAGCTGATCCCAGAGCCTGGTCCAGTCCTATGAGGATCACTGACACTGAGGAAAAGGGTACCACAGAACACAGCAAAAGCTGCCATGGTCATTTCAGGTGAGTTAGCCAACTGAAAAAATAAAAAGCAGAGAAGCCTTTAAAGTATTTGGGTTCCAAGAGCAAATTATGAATAAACAGCAGGCATTTCTGGACTCAACCCCTTCTGGCAGTGATGCCCAAGTCTGCAACACTTTTAGACATGTGGGGGACACAAGAGTTTCAGTGAGGGCTCCCAAGGCCCCAGGTGCAGCAGTGTGGCTCATTGGGCAGCACCCAGGCCACAGTGGTGGGCTCTAAGGTGAGAAACTGGAATGCAGGAGCCAACTGAC